GCTTCGCTGCTCATCGACCCGAAACCCGGAAGGCCGTCCGAGAAGAACGCAGGGCCAAATGCAAGCGTGGACGGATACGAAATCATCGATGAGATCAAGAAACAGCTCGAGGCTCACTGTCCTCGCACCGTCTCGTGTGCTGACGTCATCACTCTGGCCACGAGGGACGCGGTTACCTTAGCAGGCGGTCTGAGGTATGCTGTGCCTACTGGAAGACGTGACAGCCTGAGGTCTAACCCTGCTGACGTCAACCTGCCCGGACCCACGATTCCAGTGACGGACGCCATTCATGCCTTTGAGGCTGTAGGGCTCAATCTCTTTGATATGGTTACCCTTGTCATTGGTGGTCACACCGTCGGCGAAATCCATTGCAGTCTCATCCAAGACAGGATCGCAGACCCTGCCATGGAACGCTCATTGAATGCTAAGTGCGTCAAGCTTCTGCACTCTCTTTCTTATTCTTGTTCAGAGAGAGCGTTGATACTTTTTTCGATACGAGACTTTCTGATCATGGTCCATATATTTTGCAGGTTGAGGAAACAATGCAAAGCCCCGAACGACCCATCAGTGTTCTTGGACCAGAGGACTCCATTCAAAGTGGACAACGGCTTGTGTTTGGAAGTTCTGAGACAGAGAGGAGTCTTAAGGATTGATCAGAGCCTCGGTCTCGACGGAAGGACCCGAGGGATCATCATGAGTTATGCCAAAGACAATGCCCTCTTCAGGCGTAAATTCGCGCAAGCCCTCGTGAAGATGGGGACCAGAAGGTTCCTCTCTGGTCGTGCCGGTGAGATCAGGAAGAACTGCAGAGTCTTCAACAACGGCCACTGACTCATAGATCATCTTAATGATCATTATTACCCTTCCATTCCATTTCCCATTGCGTGCCTTTTCTTCCAAATAAGATGTCAAATGTGTGCTTTGTCTTGGAATCTTGATTTTGTCATTGTATTGATTCTTGTTCCAACTTTTTCGAGGTTTTCAATTTTATTGTAAAACGAAATAATTATCTTTCCATCGTTTTTTAATTGCCATTTTAATTAGTGTTGAGAGTGTTAGGAGACCATAATCTCTCTCTAGAATATCAACGGTCGTTGGATTGCTTTCTTGAGACACAAGTTTCCTTTTATTTTAATATCTCGAAAGTTATTGTGATTTGTGAAACCGTTACATAAGAATAAAAATAGAATATAAGCCGATTTCACGACTTTGATAAATTCGGTCAAAGTAATCACTGTTAATAAATATAGAAGATATACGATTTCAAATTTTACTTAAAACGATATATAAAATGGTGAAAAATTCAAAAGGAACTAAAACAGTACATGCGTGAATAACACTGGCAGCTGTTAATTAATAATCATTTTTTAAAATTAATTTCAAAAAAAGAGTGATGGATTGCTGCCAAGCTGTCCAGTATGTGAATTGTCCTAAAAGGCCTTATTATTTATCCGTTGGGTCCAAAACCCTCCCTTAGACAAGGGGTAAAATCGTAAATTGAGATATTTACTTTGTATAAATCTGAACCGTCGCGTCATCTCCTTCCAAGAGCACTGCAGTGCTTCTTCACTCTCTTGTTCTTCTGAGATGGATTTCTTCGCGACATTTCCGGTGTATCGAAGAAGCGCGTCGCGATGGATCAAGAAGGTTGTCGGAAGCGGTTCATGTTCCGGCGGGTGTAAGCGGAAGGGCGTCGATGATGGAGAAGCGTCCGGGAATCGGAACAAGAGGAGGAATTCCCGGAGTTCTTCTCTTCTCCGTTGTTCGTTTCTCTTCGAGGTCTGTAGGGTTTTGCCTCCGTTTTTTCTCTCTCTATGCGATTTTCTGTTCGCATGGTTCTGAAATTGATTTTCTCGACGTTTTCATTTCCGGTCTTGTATTTTCTTGATTTCCAGGAATGGGTTTCCAGGAATGGGTTCGTTCATGGTTTCTTGCTTCTGGGTTATGATGATCGATCATGATGCTGATGATTTTAATTTTCAAATTTGTTTTTGTCCTTGTTTGAAATTGTGATCAGGGTCGTGATTGTTTGTTATATTTGCGAGCATTTTGGGTTAGCGAGCGCGTAATCAAGTGGAATTTGGACATTGGAGGGCAAAATCGCTGGTTTCACGTTGGGCGGTGATGGAATCAGAGGTGCTTAATCATATCTTATTGGGTTTCGCTTTAATCTTGTTAAAACATTTATGCGTATATGATTTAAGAGTTGAGCTTGAAGTTGAATCTGATCGCTTCCTTCAAATGTCTGTTGTGGAGTCTCTGCTTATAGGTTTTTGGTTCACAAGAGTGTAGATGTATGTATGATCTTTTTCTTTAAAATCGGAAATCTGAATTTTTAGGTCCTTTGGATCTGGACGTCAGAGATCTTGTCAAAAGCCAGTTAGCTGTTTCTTACTTGGGCAGTAAGAAACTTCAACTGTGTGTCATTCCTTTGTACGTTTCATTTCCTCTACTGTTGTTTCCCGGTTTTGAATGCCGACAGCAACTTCTTGTTATTTTTCTGCAGCGGCCAATCGAGGGAATGCGGGTTGCAATTACCTGGTATCCTGGATGAACTGCTCAGGTACTATGCTATTGGTGAGAATCTGTTTGGTATTGCCTTTCTTTATTCACCCTTATAATGTAACAGTCTCTTTTTCGGTGGTCATTTGTGCTTAAAAGGAGGCAGTTCCTGTTTGTTTCCGTTTCTCTATCTGTCTTGTGCAATTTACATCTTGAAACAAGTGGACAAACTTTGGCAAGTGACATTTAAATTACATCCTGGGGTTTAAAGGGGTTCATGTGTTGGTTTTGCTCGTGCAGATTTCCTTGACTGATTATTTATTAATTTTCAGGGCCAATGATCGTTCTGTAGAACTTAATTTTTGTATTGAGTTAGTATGTTGTGGATGAAGTTTGATTGTCGTTGAGCTGGTGGACCAAATTTCCTTTTTTTTTTTTTTTTTTTTTCTGTGGTTAACTAGTTTCACAACAAAGTATCTTGTTGTGTCTGTTCGCAGGGTTCAGCTGGAGTGAATCATCTAACAAAGCTGGTAAATGCATGTGTCAGTTTGGTAATATTTGAGTATTTAGGTCTGTTGCCTTATTTTTTTGCTTAACTTCAAAAAACAAAAAGATTTTTCTGTCATTTTCAGTTATCCTAATGACTCTGTATCTTGGATTCTTGATCACTTTCTCACACCAATGGGAGTCAGTCAGATATCTTTCCTATTTGCATTAGATAATGAACGTGCTCACTGTTCCTCCGTCCTTGGTAACCATTTGATATTTATGGCTCCACAGATACCGGTATGGGAAATGGAGCCAGATTCAGCTGAAGGACAGGCTCAGATTAGTGAGGTTAAGAATGATGATGGCTATAACTAGGGTGGTTTCTATGTAACCCCCAGTTTTCACCTTCACTGAAAGTTTCTTCTTTTGTGAAGCTATGATCCTGTGCTCCGGGGAGTCCCTAAAGGAAGCTACGCAAATAACCCAAATGGTGCATGCCTTATACCGGAATTTAGACAAATGGTTCAGGTAAGCATTTCTCCGATATTCTCTTCCAGGGAAAAAATGATGGCTATAACTGGGGGTAGTTTCTTTCTAAGCAAGTCGCCTCCATCGAAAATTTCTTCTTTAGTGAAGGTATGATCATGTGCACTGTGGAGTCCTAAAGGGAGCCAAGTAATTTAGAAAAATTGTTTTGGTAAGCATTTTTCCAATTTTCTATTCCAGGAAAGAAACCGAGTTAAAAGTGTATACTCGTTCTGGTGATGGGCATCTGTGACGAGGCTTATATTGATGTAACAATTCTAGTAATTCATATTGTTTTTTTTTTATTGTATGGTTTGCTCTTTATAGATTATTTTGGCAGACTCTATACCATATTGGTCTCCGCATTTTGCTAGATGTTGTCTACAACCACTTGTATGCAAATGGGCCACATGACAGAACCTCTGTTGTTGATAATAAGGTGTGCGGTTTCTTCTCTCAGTTTTTATTGCTTTTAGTCTGTTTGGTAACACTGCCAGCGAGCATTTTATGGTTGACTGTATGATACATGATGATCTCTTAAATTGGGCTGTTCGTTATAAGGTACTGGTTATCAGCATTTCATGGTTAATCGTCTGTCGTTTCTCAGTGTCTGATCATGTTTTGACTTCATGGGTCATCTAAAGAAATCTATGATGGTAAGCAGCTTTGTTGTCCCTCTCTCAATCTAGGATCTGTATGTTTCTTCTTGAAATATGCTTATAACAAATAGTAATAGATAGAACTTGGCGGTGTCAGTCAGTTGCCCCGATGATAATGGTTTAAATTTTCAACAAGGTCATTCTCTGAAGTTTGCATGTCTTGAAAATGCTAAAATTTTCTCATACTTGTAAACTAGTCTTCAAACGTGAGATGTATGTAATATGGTTCTGTGTAGGTAAAAGTGAAAAAGGCACTGGGTAACTTGACAAAGGGAAGTGATGGAGTTGATGGGCTCAAGTAGTTATTTGTATGTCTTTGTTCATGATCAAAAGTTGCATGCTTTAGGATGGCTTTTTCTTGTCTTGTTTATCGTCAACTGAAGAGCAGGTATGGTATACCTTGCTTAACATGAACTAAAGTGCAGTTTTTTCTGTCACTTTTCAGGTAGATATCCTTCTTATCTGCATAGAAATAATGGACATGCTCACTGCTCCTCTATCCTTGATGATTCCACAGATTCCAGTCTGCTAGAAAGTCAGCTCCAGATTCAGGTAAAAAAATATATATATATATATATATATATAGTGTATGCTAGGTCTGTTGATGTACATCTGAGGTGGGGTTTACATTGATGTAACAGCTCTAGATTTGTTCATTTAGTAGGTCAAGAATATATACTTTCGAATCAAGATCTCCCTCAACTTCCTCAATTTCTCCCCCTGTGGGCATGGATGAAATAATCAAAACAAGTTTTTATCAGGTGAATGTGGGCATGGATGAAATAATCAAAACAAGTTTTATCAAGGTGAGAAGTACCTGATTCAATGTTGACCTCATTATTCAGTGTTGCATCGACGTAGTCATGAACTGTTGCACGGATTTTCTGACATTGGGTTGCATGTTTCCTCAATCCGAACTCCATCTTTATCAGTGTCTTCTCTGCATCCTTGAGAGTTTCCAGCATCTTCTTGAAATCCTTCTTTCCTTTTCCTTTCTTCCTCTTGATTCTGGGTTCAACCACTAGGAGTTTTTGAATCCCTTCGATGTTCTCCTTCGGATCAATGATTTCAGGGCACAACTTAGTAAGAATGCTTTGGTTTAAACATAGATAAGGTAGTGTGAACCTTGCTCTGAAGTTCAGGGCTCTCTACAGAATATGATCAAAGATCATGTTCCCATAGTTGATCTTGATTCCCTTCTTCACACAGTAGATTAATACTGCAAACCTTTTGTGAAGCAGACTTGATCTCTGAGTTGATAGCTAGTTTGATCTGGCGATTTTGAATAGCACCGAGGACTCGAAGTTCAGCTCTACTGGAGCTATTTCTCCCTTTCTCTTTTCGTCATAACTATCAGTGAGTGCTATCTCTAGTTCTTTCTGATCAATATCTCGATCCAATCATCCATGGTTGTCACAAGTGAGTTCTTCAATCCCAGAAACATGTTAATCACCGTTGGGGAGAACTGAAGAATTTTCCCTCTTACGTACACTCTGTGATACATCAGATCATCTTGCTTTTCTACCTTCT